GCACGGAGGGGGCAGGGGGGGGGATCCTAGGGACAACTGGAGCCTGAATGGGCGAGGCAGTAGAGGGCCCCTGACAAACTGGAGCTCTCAGAGGAGACAAGGAAGGGACAGAGGAAGGGACAGAGGGGTCCATGAGACCATGGAGATGGCACAGTGGGCCAGGACAGGTGAGAGCAGAAGGATGTGGGAGGTGATGGCCACGGATGGAATGGTGTGGAAAGAGTGTAGCTGGGGCCAGCAGTGGGGGGTGGGGGGTGCACAGAGATGGATGGGGCAGGGGAGATGGGGTGGAGGCTGATGGAGCAGTAATGGGCGGTGCAGGACAGCATGGTGAGATGGGACAATGCAGGCCCAGGTGAGGCCATTACTTACACGTGGATGGAGAGCGCCCGTCCTCTGTACAGACTGAACGCGCTGCCATACAGGTCACTGGCCACCGAAAGGCTATCCTCTGACCCCCAGCTTGCGCCCACCAGATTAGCTCGCGATGCCCGCACCAGCGGCTCCACCCCCAGGTGCCGTGGCCCGGCCCCGGTTGCCTGTGCTTGCCTTGGGCTGCCTGGGAGGCGGCGGGTGCCACCCCCGCTGCCCGCTTCCTGTTCCAGGACGGTCTGCCCGCTGCCCCACCAGCTCACTTGCTCCTCTGAGGTGCCTGTCACGGAGGTCGGGGGTGTGTCCAAGGAGGTGCCCACCAGGGTGTCAGAGCCCCCTAGAGAAAGGAGCACAGTAAGACCTAGATGCCCCTTGCGGGAAACCCTCCTGCCTGCTCTCAGAGCACCCAGAGAGCTCACCCGTGGGGGTGCTGAAGGCCCCGTCATCCCGAAGCTCCAGGCGCTGGGTCCCCTGCACATCGCTGATGTCATCCTCAGCCGTCTCTGAGTCTGGAGAAGATGGGGTCTGTGTGGGCAGGGCCCTCCTCCTTCTCCTCCAACTCTTGCCTAAGTCGCCTCCTGCCTCGCCCACAGCGGGCTCCATCTTACCACAGGTAGGGCTTTCAAGACCCAGTCTTCTCTCCTCTTTTGCTTCTGCCACCTCCCTGCCCAGATTCCCACTTCAATGCCCTGGCTCCATCCCTGACCCCCTGGCTACTCACCCTTGCCTCCATGGGGCCCTCAACACTGCCATCCTCCCTCCTGTCCAGTTAATGGCTTACCAGGGACTCATCCCCTCCCGCTCCGCTCCCTGTGTGGTGCCCAAAATAACAAGGTCCTAGGTTCCAAGGCTCTAAAGTCTGGGTTCCAGTTCCCCAGAAACAAAGGGGAGTCACCTCAGAGTTGAACTGTCAGGGCACTCGACCAACTGCAGGGCCAGCCTGTCCTGCACCCTCAACCAGCTGGAAGGCATCAGGGTACACAGCTGAGGCAGGGTGAGGAGAGGCCAGGGCTGGGCAGGGTAGAGGGGGAAATGGGGGTAGGGCAGAAGCCAGCTTCCTACCGTAACTTTGCTTTCTGCAGGAGCGGAAAACTTCGCTTCCATAGGAGCAGCAGGAGAGAGATGTGGACAGACAGTTATCAGAGTGTTTGTGGGATGGGACATGGAGGACAGAAGGGGCACAAGGGTCCCCAGTGCCTGGTGGGGATAGATGGGGGAGGAGGACACCAGATGTGCCCAGCATAGGGAGCCATCCCCATGTGCTGGGCTGGTTGTTCCAACTGGCCCAGTGGTTCTGGGACCCTGAACCCTTCCTGGTGCTCCTACTGGCCATACTCACACCTGTTTGGGCCCAGTTCAGCCACAGACCCACAGACCTGGGCCTTCGAATATTAAGGGTCAGTCCCACCCTCTACCACAAAATTTGTACTATGCTTTGACCCTTCCTTACAAAAGAAGGCATGGGGCTGGGACAGGTACTCTCCTCAAGAATCCTCTCTTCTACTGGTGAGTGGTTCTTTAAAAATGCCCAGAGTTTGAGTTAGAAACAAAGATTCCTGGGCATATTTTTTTAACTTTCCCAGAGTCTAACAGGTTCTGTGCCTCAGTTTTCCCTTGGGTGCCATGACAAGCAGGAGCCATGTGCTGGTTGCCATAGCATGGAAATATGCTCCTCCTCACTTGGTCTCACAGATGAAGAATGGGGAGCCCAGGCCCACGGTAGGGTGTGCTGATAAGCCCCCTTCCCATTGCTAGGTCCTCTCTCAGCTTCAGGGCCCAGGGGTCCTTCTTGGGTGGATGGGTAGATGAATTGGGGGGGGGTGTCCCACATCTTATGGGCTATCTTCGGGGCCTTGATGCCTCATGAAGGGACATGGATCAAGAGGAGGGGTGGGCATGGGCTAGAGCAGTCCACGCACCATGGGTAAGTCGGCCAAAGGCCCGGCGGGAATGGCCGGTTTTCTGAAAGAGAAAAGCCAGAATGAGTTGTTGAGGGGGAAGCTTGCTCCTGAGTCCCTATACCTCCCAGTCCCAACCTGCTATATCAGGCAAAAATGCATACTAGGGGCCAGTGGGGGGGGGCATAGCTTGCCAGGTAGAGAGTGTATCCACTCTGCCTTCCTCCAGGCCACCCAGCTTGGCTCAGGAGCAGGGGAGGAAGGTGAGGGAACAGAAAGGCTGCAGGTCCAACACTGGGACTCCCTGCTGGACAGAGGCTTATAGCCTGGGACCAGATAGAGGAGAGGAGATGTGGTAGCCAGGATGGCTGATAAGAAAATGGAGGGGGTGCGCTTGAATGATGAGAGATGGAGGGCCAAGGACACAGATTTTTGTTGTGGGGAAGGACAGATACCTGGGATAGGTGTCAAGAGGACGGGGAAGGGGTGATGGGGGGCAAAGAGTAAGGATCCCCGAGGGGCCAGAGCCCCAGGAATGCAGGAAGGATGCCCGGGTACGCGAAGGACAGGGCAGGGCTTGGGGGAATTTAGAGCTCAGCGAAGATCCCTTTGCGTTTCTTTCAGGAGCTTCAGAAGATGGAAGGCTCCAGAGTGGGGAGCTGGGGAAAGCCGGGCGGGGGTCGGGGATTGGGGTTGGACAGAGGCGCCAGAGATGGCGAAGCAAACGGGTGCCCCGCGCCGAAGCTGCAGCGGTGGCCTCCCGGGTGGTCGCGGGGACTGGGGACTATAGGGGATTCTGCCCTTCAGCTTGGGGAGGGGCCTGAGCGCTCCGGACGCAGGCCGGG